TATTGATTGTGGTCACACTGTGCTGCTCTAGGTCTAAATCACAAATTGTGCTGCCTCTTATAGGTTCTCCTCAGAAAAGAGCATTTATGGAATCCAAAAATGCAGTCTCTGCATCATCCCTGTCATGATGCTTATTTAGCCTGCAAGGGCATTGTCGAAATTTCTCACTGCTGTATTTTTTTCTGCCTTTGCACCGTCTCTCTCTTTCTGTCTTTTGACACTTGAATTGACCTTTGGGTTTGGTGGTCTCCTCTGTCAATATTTGTGCTTACCGATGACATTTCGTAGGGCTTATGTATTCCTGTTGCTGACTCTTAGTTTTCTTTAAGGTGGACACCCACTTCTCCATTGAGCATTCATTGACAGTTTTTATGCTGATACTGCACTGATTATCTTCCTTCAGCAGACTCTTAGTATACAAACAGCTAAACTTAAATCAGACATCCCCTTTTCCATTTCAAGACTTTGGGTACATTTATACAATCTTGGGTTTCTTGCCTGTTCTTGTATACGCTTGAATCTTGAATATGATGTTGTTTGTTGTTGACAAAATTTGGGTAGGAAATACATTCCTTCTATCCTTCATCAGCCTTTAAGAATAAGTCATCTTAGCAGTGTACTCTGCTGTAGTTGTTGACTTCCCTGGTATTCTGTTTAAAAATTACCCCAAAGCCACCTTAAAATAAAGTGCCAACCTCCTGGTGCCTGAGGAGAGATTTTTTGAGATCAGGACAGTGTTATGTGTTTTGGGTGTGGGGATCCTGAATGATATGCTGAATTTTGGGTACTAGAGCCTATCTATATAGGTCTTGGAGACCTTTCTGCCTGTACAAAGGCTGGAGATGCTAATTTGTGTGCTGGTGAGAGGGGCTGTACTATGAACCCTAATGACTGATAGTCTCTGTAAGGAGGGTAGCACAGGCTGTTGAAGAACCAACCTTCTTTTTACATTGCTTTATTTTCCCAGCCCTGATGTGAGAGGTGTGGAGAAGAGAGAAAAGTTATTTTTCCTTTGCTAAGGCAGCTTTAAATTTTCTGGTTAACCAGTTATGGTGTTGTCTGTTGGTCTGATGGTGATGTGGGCACTGGCCTGCTGAGAACCAGGCTAAAAATCTTGTGAAAGGTAAACTGTGTGCTTCATAATACTCGTTGTGTTGTTAAGAGCTTATTTTTGTTGCTAAATATGGTATGAATAATCCAGGTCTGTGAGTATACTCCAGGAAATCTTCAGTTTTAGTCAAGAGGCCTCATCTTCACAGGATTAATAACATCAGTTATTAATTAATAACTTCTGAAATATATAATGTAGCTCCTATTGATATGATTGCTGGGATTTTTTTTTTTTTTTTCATTCTACCACCTAGTCCTTCTCAAAGGTTTAACAAACTCCTAATGGATAAAGGTGGTTCCTTTTTTGGGAGGGGAAAAGAGAAGACAAAACATCCATATATGGTTAGAAAAATTGTTCAGGTCTTTTGAAAAGACAACAGCAGTGTTCAGGAAGGCTGAGTAAGTCTGTGTCCAACTGGGTAAGCAATGATGGTAGGACTTCTGAACAATTTGTAAACAGTTTCTCAATACCTTCTCTGCTAGGTAAATCAGATGGATCCTTTTTCAGGAAGGAGAAGCTAGAGGGAGACCTGAAAAGAGTGAATTTTGATTGTGGTCCTGGAGAAACTTATGTCAGAGGTCAGAATAAAGCATGGATCTGTCCTCCTTTCCTGTTCTTGTTTTGCTTGTTCAGCAGCTTGTGGAACTAGCTAGCATGTGATTGCAGAGAGCAGGAAGCCAAGAAGTACCTAGTACAGGAATCTAGCCCAGTTCTTCCAAGAATTAAACTGATAAGACAAAGGAGCAATTTCCAGAAAGGTGTTTATAGACCTTATTTGGTAAAGGGTGAAGGGGCACACGTGAGACCTGGTATGTAAGAGCTAGTAGGACTCTTCCCTCGAATGGAAAGGAGCAACGTTGAGAGAGTCTTTTCCTCGAAGCTTGAACCATTGGGAATGCTAAGGAGATAGGAGTGAAGCCCAGTGTGGCGGTGTCCGGGGCTGAGCAGGCATGCTGGAGCCACAGGCCTGCACTTTGGCCATGAGCAGGGCAAAATAAATGTGCTCCAGAGACAAACAGGCTTCTGCCCTCTAGGAGTGATCTCTATGAGCATCTGTGTTTGGTGCAGTTGCCTTTTCTGTGCAACCGCAGTCTTGTTTCCCTTGTGCAGAGAAGGGGGAGGCATGCAATTTAATGAAGATCAGAGCTTGAAACCTCTAGGTTGTGCTTGCTGGTAGTGAGTCTCGGGGGTCAGCAGGCAGTGCAGAGGAGGAGAGCAGACCTGACTCACTGTGATGAGAGGCTGGGGATAGGCCATGTCTGAACAAAGTTGAGCTCTGGCAAGTTTAGTCCTGTGTCAGAGGCTGCCTGTGCTGTGTGGGTATTAGGAAGGTTCAACCTTTCTAATGGTCTCTTAAGTTTCCTCCTAAGCTTTTTCAGTCCTTGACAACTTATCTGGAACAGCACAACTTGTGTCTGTCTTCAGCCTTTTTAACCAGCCCCCAAATGTTCTCATTCCTGACAGTGCCCTCAACCGGTGGGACACATCTGTAATCTCTTGGTGACTCTTCCCACTGGCTGTCTGTGATGTCCCAGCACCAAGAATGAACAAAGTACAGATGCCTGTTGCTGATCCTGACCCAGGCTATTCCAGGTCCCAGTGGAGGGCACTGTTTGACACAGAAGCTTGGCCAGACATGGTTGAAAGTTACTTGTTTGTAAGCTAAATAGGGTGTCTGAATCTAGCAGATAGCTCTGTTTGAAACATAAGCATTCTTCCAGTCTCAAAAATACACCAGCTGGATGGAGGAGGGAGTTTGTGGAGAGTTTTCTGAAGCTGAACACCACAAGCTGGTTTTTATCCCAACTACCTGATATGGCACCTGAAATGTATTTGTTCTGTGATCTTGATCCTGGCCAGTGAGTGGGTCTTCCAAACTGAGTCCATTGGCATCCCAGAAACATGGACATACAACAGAGAAAGCATGCAGAAAGCACAAGGAGTTTTTGCTAGAAGGCAGCCCAGGCAACATGTCTGAGCTCTTGTCTGAGTTACAGGGCTCCTGGGTCGTTCTACTTGTATGCTGACATGCTTGGATATGGTTTATGGGCAGCATAGTCCTCGTCTTTCTTAGTCCTTGCTTTCCATACCTGTAGAGTAATAGACCCTTTCCAGAGACTATGAAGATGTTGAGCACTGCAGAATCCTTCTGTAGGGCAGTAGATGGCTAGTGGTGCTGTCTTGCTGCTGTTCAGTCATCAGTGAGGCATAAACAGTATCCTCTCCAGCCCATTATCCTGGGACAACTGGTCATGGTGGTGCTAACTGATCTAATGTTTCCTATAAGGAAATGGTAAATGCAATGGGCTTAATTTGGCTAAAGCCTCATTTCCATGTTTTGCATACTCCTACCTCCTCTCTTATGTGTGATGAGGCCAGTGGCTCTATAGAGGCTGTATTGGTGTAGCATGAATAACCACTGTGGGTGGGATTTTTTTATGCTGCTAGTCTGTATTAGTTCATTTAGCACTGTTCTGGTACTGTTAGCGCTTTCCTGTCTCCAGGCAAATGGTACAGCCTGCAAAAGAGATTGGAAATCTCTGTTTCAAGCAAGGATGAGAATGGATGCATGGCCATGCAGCTACTCACTTTATTGGATGCTTTCTTAGTCTTTCCATCTGTTGGAGGCTCTTGTGTGTACCTTGTCCCTGTCCACAACAACAAACATAGCTTAAATCAGGAAACAGCAAAAATGAGGATGTTGCTAAACAAAAAATTGCTTTTGCCCCAAACAAGGGTGAGTGTGCAGAGCCTTGAGAGCCAGCAAGAACTGAGCTTGAACATGACTCTCTTTCTGATGTCTGAGAGGGCTGAAAGTGCTGGGAAGGGCCAGGGCAACAGGTTAATACACAGTACTTGGGAACCAAATGGTGATTGAAATGAAGCCACAAACAGTGAAACACAAAGGGGGGGAAAAGTGGCTTTTGTAGGCTCTTGTGTTTAGAGTACTCATGAATGTGCTGAGTGTACTTTGGCTTCCACTTTGTGAAGAGTGTGCTCCTAAGCACCAAAGTAGCTATTTCTTCTCCCCACCCCATTTGAGGGTGACACTGAAGGTCTGTGCTGCTGTCAGTCCCACTTAGCAGTGTGGCAAAGCCTGCACTGCTACCAGCTCCTTGTTGCTGTCCTGGAGAAATAGCTGTGGAGTTAAAAGTCCTAATGTCCTCACGAAAGTGTGTGCTGCTACTGCAAGAGCTCCTCAGCTGAACCTGTGGGGCTTTTGGCACAGTAGAGGACAGAGCTGCAGTGGTTTCTTCCTGTAGCCTTTCAGAGCCAAGGATTTTATCCAGGGGCAGTTGCCCACTCTCATCACATAGCCTCAATGTTCAGGATGCATGTTGTCAGCCCTTCCTTCACTCTCAACCTTGATGTTTTCTAGTTTCTCCTAGTGGTCATAGGGTGAGCCTTGTCTTGGGAGAGTCCAACTCATTAACCCAGCAAAGAATTGTGGCAGGTTTTGACAGTCTTGTTTTCTGCATTTTTAATGAGGAAAAGTGGATAACCAGGTGATCAGGCCAGCACCAGAGCAGGTGCAAGATAAGGAATGGGATGTGTGTGTGGACAGGAACATACATGCATGGAGGAGGGCAGGGGAAGCAAGACCTCCACTTTGATGGAGGCAGGTATTCATTCTGCTCAATTCTATTGTAAAATCTTGCCTTGAATATCCTGACAGTTGTGAGTGTAGTGGGGGGACCTCTCTTGTGGCCTGATTGCAATGGACAGCTGGCTTTTATCTCTTGATTGTTGAGTGATAAAGAAGATTTTCACCTTTGTTGTGAAATTGGATTAGGCTTCTTACTGGACATCAGGAGGCTGAGCTGTGGGGTGGTGGCAGTGTTCTGGTTCCATGTCACACCTCTGTGTATCCCCTCTCTCTCCTGCTCAGCTCGGCATTGCTGTGGGGTTTCTGGTCCCTCCAGTTCTGGTTCCTAACGTGGAGGATGTGGAAAAGCTGGCCTACCACATCAGCATCATGTTCTTCATGACTGCAGGCGTGGCAACAGCCCTGTTCATCCTGGTCATCATAGGTAAGGAGGTGGGAATGTGGGACTGAGATCAGCTTGTGTGTGTGAGGGGACTGTGTGCTAGGAAATGGGCTGGGGAGGTCATCTGGGGATGTGTCCTAGCATGCAGCTGACAGGGTCATGCAATACCATATCTTGCTGCTTCAAGCCCTTGATGAACAGCACATGCAGAAGGGAGTACAAAAGGTTGGGTAAGCCTGCCAAATCGTTAATTTCATCCTTTGATTGCCTGCGTGATAAAACCCTGGCATGAGTAAGTCCTTTAAAAACCAACAGAAATCTTCCAAGCTTCACAGTCACCTTGCCTGCAAACAAGGTGCTGGGCCATGGGTTATGTCTCAGACCTGACTACCTCTTAAGGGTAGGGAGAAAGAGGCAGGTTATATGGCATCACAGGAACAAGCTATTCCCAGGAGAAAAAAAATGTAACCAGTTATGAGTGGAGAGAAGGAAGCATTAAGGGCAGTAGCAGGACAGCAGAGGTGCAATTCCCCTGCTTAACATGTGAAGCGGAAGCCAGATCTTTATTTTGCTCACTGGAGAGCAGAACTGGTCTGCTGAACTCCATGTAATTTTTTTTTTTTTTTTTTAATAGGCTGCTCTTGCCAGCTTGTTTGTGTTGCCTGGTGGTTGAATCAGATGTAGGCTTTAAAGAAACTGGGACAGGGAATGGACAAGGTACAAAAATGGCTGTCTGGCACCTGGTGCAGCAGTATTGCCTTTGACCAGGATTTCTGGATGCTAGTTAAGGACAGCAGATGCCTTGGCCAGCCTAAGAATTGCCAGGCCTGAAATAAAACCTGGCATATGTCGTTGCTCCCTGGGCACTGCAGGGCACCAGGCCACCTCTGCCAGCTGGCTTTTCACTTTTGCGTTTGTAACTCTGCAACACTTTTGCAGCTGGCTGGCCGTCCTTCTGGAGACATTAGTCCTGAGATCTCTTTTGTTGCTGGCAGACACTGCCTACACAAAAAGCTAATTGAAGGCAAGGTGTTTCCCCAGTGGCAGGAGTTATTGTTGAAGGCATCCTGTTCTCTCCTGTTTCTGGATAAGTTCACGCATGGAGATCGAAGCTTAAGGATGATGGTGCGTTTTGTACACTTGATTTTGTTAACCTGTCTGCCATCCCTCAAATGGCTTTACCCACAGTGTGTGCTCAGGCTCCCTGATTGCGCCGTTACAAACAGGTGTACTTTGTGTCTCATTTCAGTCTTCAAGGAGAAGCCCCCGCACCCTCCGAGCCGAGCTCAGGCCTTGATCCAGTCGAGACCAACAGAGGAGTATTCCTACGTGCAATCAATCCTCCGTCTGCTCCGCAATGCCAACTTTTTGCTGCTTATGGTCACTTACGGTAAGGTCTGGCCTTTCTTCTGTGCAGTTATCACTGCTACAAATGCTTAGCTTAGCTTCTCCCTCCCTCTCCATGCTCTGCTGAGGCACTAAGTTGCCTGGGTTGTTTAGGGGAGCATAAGGATAGCTGTGCTGCCACAGACCAGAAGTCCTTCTAGCCCAGTAATATTCAGCTGTGGTTACAAGCAAATGGCTAGGGAAGAACAAAAGCAAGGCAATCACACAGAGGACAATATGCCCCCACTACTGTTCTACCAGTCTTCGACTGTTTTGCCTTCAGGGGATTTCCTTATCCTGTTTTTTTTTTTTTTTTTTCCTAGTCGGCTAGTTACTTGCAATGAACTAATCTAAATGCTTACCTAAGAAATATATGGAGCTGTGTCTGAATGCAAGTCACAGCACTGAGTGAAAGTCATTTCTCAAGGCGAGAGTGTGGCTACCAGGCATCCCAGTGGAGGACATGTGGAGCATGCAGATGTGCAGACTGCATCAGCTTCCTTGGCAGTCCCTGTGAAGCAAATGGAAGGAAGGACTGGAGAACATCTTTTGCCATCTGTCCTTGCACACTGGGTTTGCTGCTTGAAGTTATGCTGTGCTGCCAGCAGTTGTGCCTAAAGGAGCTAGTGGATGCGTAGTGAGGTGGGAGAGAGTGAGATGGTGGCTTCGTACCTGCTGAGGGTGCTAATGGTCTTTGGGGTTGTTGTAATCTCTTCTCCCTTCTCAGTGCAGTAGTCTTCTAGAAATGCCCCTCTTGGGTTGCCCTTCAGTTCTGCTGGTTTGCATTGCAGCTCCTGGGTTTTTTCTTCCACCCCCCCCCCCCCCATATTACGTGATGTCCTCTCAGAAAGTCAGAAAGTGAAGACAGGAAAAACTGTCAGGCAGATCGTGTGTAAAATTTGGATTGTGTCGTGCTCAGTTTGCACTTACCCTTCAGGGAATAGAAAGGGGAAAGCATTTGTTCTAATAAGTGTAAACAAGTCCTAGAGGAGAGAGGAGGGCTCTTGGTACGAACCGCGTGTTTATAATCTGACCTGCCTGGGATAATTCCCTCCTGGCAGTTACAAACAATGTAGAAAGGCTGTTCAGTGGCTCATAATTCAGTCTCTTTTCCTGTTGGTCTGTGCATTTATTCTGTTCCTCTCTGTGTCAGCCTCATGTCAATCTCCAGCTTGACTGTTACTCAGAGAGAGGAACTATGCAGTGAAACTTTTTTTTTAACTAGTCTGGCTTTAAAATGGGGACAGTTTTTCCTAGTCAAGTCAAAAGTTGTGTTGGCCAAGATTTAAGACATCTGCAGCCACAGAAGTGCAACTGAGTCATCCTCCCTAGCTAACATGAAGATACTTGCAGCTTCTCTTTTGTATTAGCATAGTGTCAGGGGAGAGAGGGGGAAACCTGCTGCTTGTTCATCTCCACTTGCTGTAGAAAGAATGGGGGTCCTTAGACGATGCCAGGTCAGAACTGGTCTGCAGACCTCTAAGGTCTTGATATTAGCAGCAGCTGCCAACTTCTTTCCTGTGGTAAGACTTGCAGTGCTGGAAACATTGGTGGCACTGCGGCTATGTTAGTGCTAGTGAACTGATTTTTAGGAAGACCTTCAGACAGCCTTATCTCATAGGCTGCTGATGCTGCTTCTGTAAAGCTGAGGCATAACATGGAGTGGGCATTAAGAAACTCTTGAGTTTATTGGGTTGGGCTCTGCACTGGAGAGCATGTTTCTACTGGGAGGCAGCAGGCAGGAAAAATGTGGGAAGGGCTGGTGAAGTGGGAGTGATGAGACAGCCCCAAAGAATCAGCATTTGGAAAGGTGATGGGGCAGCAAAGAGGAGGCAAGGCAGCGAGATCTGTGTAAGGAGCCGTTGTCCTGGAGGATGACGAAGGTAAAGAAGAGGGAGACCAATAGTCTGGCATGTAAGCAATAGGGTGCTTAGCTAAAGAAGACTTGGATTCTAGTCTGAGTCTTAATAAGGGTTCCTTTTGGAGCCATAGGCAATAAACTTCCCCTTTCTGGCCTCTGTAAAATAGAGGAGACACTGTGAGGTCTCAAAAATGTTCATTTACAGCACATTACAAGCAAACCATGGTAACTAGCTAATGAATCAGGTGGGGCTGGACCTTCAAATGTGCTGCTCCTAGCTACTACTAGTTCTGGTTTTCCTCATCTGCATGGGCAAATAGGTACTGCCCCTTTGGAAACAACCCTTGCCTGTTTTATGGGCATTCAAACAGCTGTAATTCACAGAGAAACTTCACTGAGCAACTGAGACATGTGAAATGCCTACAACTTTTGTGAGCCCTCACAAATGCGCATTTGGCACATTATCTTGATCCTTAGAGTATTTTGCCTGACCCTGGTGCCAAGTGTTGCTGCCAACTCTATGTTGCTTTCTGCCCGCCTTGGGAGCAGGGGCTCTTCTCTCTCTTGGAAATTCCATGCATCACAGAGCTGCTGTAAAGCTGGTGTAATGACAGCATCAGCTACCAGAGCAGTGTCTGGCTGTCCCCACAAGGCTGGTGCCCTCTTGGCTGGGTGAGAAGTAGACATATGCAAATGACTGGTCTATGTTTATGCCCAGCTTGGAAGTGAAGCAGTAGTGGGTAAAGGGACTGTCCTGATCTGCCATACTTCCATGTCCTGGCACTGCAGTTTGTGTTGTCTCCTAGTGAGCAGGGTGCTCCAGAGGTGGAGATCAGATGAAGCCAAATTAGGCTCTTGTGGGCTGCTTTGTCATAGCTAAGTGTTGCAAAGAGCCAGTTTTCAAGGCTGGAGGGCGCCTCCTTGCTGTGAGATCTCCAATGGTTCTTTCCCCTCTCTGGCTGTTGGCCCTGCTGGCTTCCAGCCTTTCTGAGTAACTCTTGGAAAGGATTGGGTGGATTCCTCCTGTCTAAAGAACATGTGACTCTGCTTACTAGGCTTTCCTGTAACCTCCTGACACATGCTTTTGGAGCAGGGGGCATTGTTGCAGGCAATTGGCTTAACTTGCATATGATTCTTCATCTGTTTTCTGTGCCACTGAGCTGTAGAGTGAGCTCTGCTTAATGTTGTTCTCCTGTGTGAAGGAAGTGTGATGTCTCTTCCAGCTGCCAATCTTGTGGCTGCTCAGAGTGCTTCATCAGCTGTGTAGGGCAATGGGTATCCAGTGTCCCAGTGGAGGAGTGGGCTAGGTGCAGGATCGCTGAGTTCTTCAGGGTTGGGGGAGCTGGAGGGCTTCAGGATTAGGGGAGCTCAGGGTTTTGTTCCCTTTGTCAAAACTCTGCCTGCTAGACTGCACTTCTGTATTGTGTACTGTGGTGTTTCTGCTTTTAGCTGAGGCTGAAAGAGGACAAGTAGGAAGTGGGAACTTGACATGTAGGTGTTCTGGCAGGATTTCAGGCATCTGTGCCAGAGATTTTTAAACCCATGCCTCCTTATGGAGCCTATAGACGTGTGAACTGCAGTGGTGAAATCTGTATCCCCATCCCTCCCCCCGTCAAGATCACTGAAGCCTTGAAGAGAAACTAACTGCAAATGTAAATGACTTTCTGAGAAGAAAGTTGCGTTGGCTGTTACAGACCTCATCCACCTGGGGAAGGTTTCTCAGTATCGCCCAAGGTGAGAGTGTAGCCGTTGCAATACTGCTGGTCCAGTGCCTGTGTGGATGATCTTGTCTACTATAAGCAAAGCTCTTGGTTTTTGTGCCCTTTAGGAAGGCGTTTAACTCAGAGTTGCATGTAAGCTGGAGCAGAGTGCTGAATGGAGCTTGACCAGTATCACCCCAACGGTTTCCATTCTCACCTTGGGTGATACTGAGAAACCTTCACCAGGTGGCTGATGCTCGTAACAGTTAACCTAACTTCCCTTTCAGAAAGACAATTACTTTCACAGTGGGTTTTTTTTCAGGCTTCAGTGATATCTTTTAAAATGCAAGACTTTTCCCATGCAGACACACAGAGCAGGTGCCTGGGGGAAGTGTTGTCTGTGCTTCACCATTGGCTCTGCTCCTACTTGCCTTCTGGTATTTCTTGGCTTGGAGAGGATGTTTTTTTACTGGCTCTCAGCAGGGAGAGTGCTATCAAGCTCTTTTCTGGGAGGAAACTGCACAGGTCAATGGCATTGGTGTTAATTGAATTCCAGGTCCTTGGTAAAGGTGTGGTACTGAGGCAGGTGTTTTTCTAGTATTTTACCTTGACTCGGGGAGGAGAAAACTCCAGTGCTAAAGATGGGATCTGGCTATGAGGAAGGGTTGAGACCCTATGAAGGACTGGCAAGACCTTTCAGTACCAGAAATGCGCACAGCCCTTCCTCTAGCTGCTAAGGTAAGAACCATCCTGAAACTACAGAGTGCTTCCTCCTGCATGCTGAGATCTGGCTGTCCTTGGTCTGCGTGTCTTGGTCTTGCAGTAACATATGTCTAGCCAGTCTGGCTGGCTCTCCTGAAGCTTGACAGCCTTGTTATGGATCGCTGCTCCCAAAGATACCTCTCTCTGCATTTCTACCTTTTCATTACCCAGCAGGAGAGTAGCAGGCTCTGAATGTGCTGCATTTTTATCTCCCCTCTCAGGTCTGAATACAGGTTGCTTCTACGCCCTTTTCTGAACCGCATGGTGATCCATCACTACCCAGTAAGTGCATCCAACCCTCATGGCCCTCTGATGCTTGCTGTTGTCCATTGCTGGCTGCTAAAGGAGCGTCTGTGAGAAATGCAGTGCTACAGCACTTCTGGCTGGCTCTAGCATGAATTGGCTGGCTGGCAGGAGAGCATCGGTTCCTTTAGTTCTTTACACCATCCCACGCAAAAGCTGATGAGCTCTAGCAAAGGCAGCCCCTTTACACCCTAAATGACAGCATTTTTTTCCAAGGAATCCTTCCAGCAATTGCCTCCGCCCTGTTCATGAGTGATTTCTACCAGTACGGGAAGGCTACCCACACTCATGTTCTGGTGACAGAAGGGCGAGGTGCCTCAGTAGCTGAGCTACTGTAGAGCTTATTGCTGGGGCTGAGTGCCAGAGAGCTCCTTTCTGCACTGCCTTATAGTGGGTCCCAATATTTCCTGGTCAATCTGGCCCAATTCCCAACACCAGACAGCAAGCTTCATAGGGTTTATGCTGACTCCTCTGAGAGTGTCTGTTCACGCTGGCCAGTGCTCGCCTTTTTCTCTGGGCTGGCTCAGAGAGAAGCGCCAAACCACTTTCCTTCATGGGCCAGAATAGGGCAATGCATTGGCTCGTAGTGGTCCTGAAAGCGTTCTTGCAAAGGCTAGTTCTGGTTAGTGTGTTACCAGCAGAAGAGGTGTGTGGGACACTAACTTTGGTGTTTCTTCCTTTTTGGGTTCTCTGCACTTTGCTTCTTGTTGACTATGACTTGGCTCCTGCATTGGCGTGAGAGTGTGTGTGTGTCTCACCACAGGGGGAGGAGGTGAATGCTGGCAGGATTGGACTCACCATTGTACTGTCGGGGATGGTTGGGGCTCTGATCTCCGGCATCTGGTTGGACAGAACCAAAACATACAAGTAAGTCCCTTGTTTGCCTCTGTGCCCCTAGTGACCGTGCTCTTCCCTGATACTGTGCAAGTAGCAACCCTGTGCAGTTGCAACTTGGCAGTCCAGGGATTGAATCATCGGGAGGGTTTACAGGAAAAAAATCAGTTTAAAGTGAAGTTTGGAGCTATGTATTAGTCTGTACTGGTCCCATACAAGGTCTGGCCCTGGTGGTCCTTAGGGGGGCATAGGGAGAAGATGAGATGGGCCAGCAGCTGCTTTGTCAGTGATGAGAGAGTTCTTGGCACAAGCAGAATCAAGACTGTACCAGACCATTTCTCAGCCCTTACAAACCAGCTTCTGTGACTCTTTGTCTGGCTTAATGAAAGGCACATTGAATCCAGTGCCCAGAGGCATTGTGGAAGGGCAATTCACTGTATTTAGGGCAGGCATAAGGGGTATTGGGGTTATGGGTCAATTCTAGGTTTGCTGCCTGGTGGGCTGGAAGGCAGATCTGGTCAGCTTACTGCCATCTGCAAAGGGACAGCTAAGGGTCTTTGGGCGTCCTGCAGCTCCCAGTCCTTCAGGAACTCAGATCTCACTGACAGACTGTGTCCCAGGGGATGGAGAGTGCCTCTCCTGCCTTATGGTGAGGTCTACATAATCAGCTTTTCAGTTTCCCTGCTAGCATTGAGAACTGTTATAACCTGCTGTCTGAGCAGGTTGGGTGAGAGGGGGCTTTAGTGGCAATATGCTGGTGATGAGCTGAAGGTGACTTTTCAGCAGCCTTTTTTTCAGGGAAGTCCCACTGCCATTATCCTACCTGGTATCTTGGGCCAGAAAAGCACATTCTCACTGTGGGCAGCTTAGATGAATCTGGCTAGCTGTGAGCTTGCGGTTTCTGAAGTGGCCTCTGTCCCTAGCTGTCAAGTGCAGGGATCAGAAATTGAGAGGAAATGGGCGTCTCTAACAAGAAAGAATGGTGGCTGAGGACTTCTGGGGGTGCTGGCAAAGAGGATCAGATGACTAATACAGAGACTGGCAGGTCGCTTGTTGCTGTTTCTAGATCGTTGTGTGCCACTGAGTAGTTCGCATTTGTCAGTCCTGGGAAATAGAAGCACAGCTGTTAGGAACTGCACTAGCTAACTGTGCAATGTAACTGGTGTCTCTTTCCAGCCCTGGGGCTAGTGGTAAGGCACTGCTAGGCTGGATGGTCTTCCTGATTCTCCCAAAGTGGAGCTAGGTTGTAGCATGAAGGCTGAAGAGCTTTGTGGCTTATGAGGCAGAGCTGGGACTTGAAATTTGGCAGAATGAAAGAGGGGAAAAAAATAAATCCTGGATTTCTTTCATGGTCTTTGCTTGATCGGAGGGACCACATAGGTGGGCAGAGCTGGCTGAGAGTGCAGAAAAATAGGGCTATGCCACCCATGGAATTTGTTCTACAGACCCCAGGGACTATCTGGGGATAGATTTAGCCTTAGGTGAGGAGAAGCACTGCTAAAAATTTTTTCTCCGTTGCAGCCCACAAAGTGGATTTTTGTGGAACTAGCAGAATTTTTGAGTGCTACATAGTCTTTATTTAGCCCCATTTAAAAGTCTATTTAAAAAAACTGTCGAGATGCCAGATGTTCTAGGTAGGTACCCTCCCCCTTCCCTCTGCTGCTCAGATAGTGTCAGGAATGAAATGGTAAGCATGTGAAAATCAGGAAGGAAAGATGTCAAGTCCTTTTTTTTTTTAGTCAGCTTGGAGAGAGAGGGAAGCAAATGAATGGGATCCAGCTGTGATTGAGGGGAGCAGGGGGAGGTTAGTAACAGAAAGAATTGCAGAGCTCTACATGTGTGTTTGATCTTTATTGTCCCATCAGCAGTTCCTTGAAAGGGTGAGGCTGTGCTAAGTCAGGCTTTCCCCATCTGTCATGCTCAGGCACAAAATGGCCTTGCATTCTTGCTTTCACTTGTCAGGTAAGTCCCTGCAGCAGCCCCTGTTCTGTTCTTATTTTTGGAATTAGCAGGCACAGATTTGGCCCATACAAATACATGAGGTACGTTGTGATGAGTGAGCGGTCCCAGAACTGGGGCTGCCTCTGGTGGGATGGCTTGTTGAGAACAGTCTATCTCTTCGAAAGAACATGTTTTGACGTAAAGTTAAACGGGACTCTATACATCTTTCAGGTTACTGGCCCAGAGGGAGAAGGGGTTGTGACACCTGGAGACTGCTGGGCATATTGGTGTTTGTAGGGGAGTCTGGCTCAGAATCAGGGATTTGGGGACTGCATTAATCAGCACTTCTCTTTGGCCATGCTTTGCATTCAGGGGCAGTGTTCACATGGCCCTGGGTCCAGCTGGTTCCAGACAGCCCTCTCTGCTGTCATCACTACACCTCTGTGAGGCAAGATGTCATAAATATCCATCTCTCTCCACTGCCTAGGCAGAGGACCCCAAGTGGTATTTTAAACTTAGATCTGTACAGGCCCAAAGGTGCGTTAAAGTTTGGGAGAGGGAGGAAAGACTTGTATATTGGAGAATGGGGTGCTTGGGTCTCTTCCACTGAAAGGTGAATGCTCTCTCAGACCAGCCTGGCCTGCAATTGGGGTCTTCTTGTTGTAGCCCTTTTCCAGGTTAGTCCTTGCTTGTGTAGTGGATATGCCTTCATAATGTCCTGATCACCAAGGCTGTCCTTTTTTGTTTTGTGACATTCATACAGGAAGAAAGTGGCATGAAACTGAGTGCTGAGGTATGAGGAGGTGATGAAAACCAAACCAGTCCTCTCCAATTCTTCCCTTCTCCAGCATCTGACACCTCAGTGTCATCATCAGTGAGATCCTTATGGGAGTATAGGGACAAGGCCTTTGTTCAGGTTCTAGCACAGCCTGGAATGTGCCGTCCTCATGGCAAAGCCTGTGGAGGCCATCCGTCCTCCCAGTCCATACAGCAGAGTGCTCTGGAGCTGCACACAACATCCCAGTAAGCAGCTAAAGCTGTGGCACGTGGCTGTGGCCTCCCTCCCCCACCCCTTGTTCATTTGTTGTTTCAGATGTTGCTTGACTCTAGTGGTTTTGCAGCTCCAGTCCCCTGTGAGTCTGGTCCTGTCCCTTTGGCTTTTCTTGTCCAAGTGACCTTGTGAGACACTGTTGGGCTGGGTCAGGCCATGCCTGTTCCTTACTCTAGGGTTTCATCTGGGGTTGGCTGAACAGAAGGAGTTGTGCTCTCCATTTCAGTCCTGTTCCCTTCTGGTGCTGGCCCTGGCTGGCTTTTTTCCCCCAAGGTCTCTCTTTTCTCACAGTCTCTTGTGTAAGCTCTTTAATCTGCCTCTTCAGAAGGGTAGGGAGTGTGGCTGGGAGGGCAGATGAATGTCAGGGCAGCTTAGGTTCACATAAGTGACAAGTGTGTTAGCTCCTTCACAGATCTCCCTCTGGCTCTGCTGCAGAGACTTGGCAGCTGGTGCCTCTGCAGCACTGCTTCCACATTGGTGCGTTGGGCTTCCTCGCCACAGCCCAGAGCACCCAGGTAGGTTAACCCCAGTTGTGCTAAGGTGCTGCACTAGGATGTGTAACTTCCAGGCTGCACTCACCGCACTAGTCAGCCTGTTAAGGAGCTTGGTGGTACCTGTTCCAGACAATGATAATTATGAATCCTTGTAGGGCCATCCTGGGAACAGGTTGCTAAAAACACCAGAATGCTGTGCAAATGTCCTGTGTGATTCTGCTTCTACTCCTTTGTGTTTTTCTCTCCCATAGGATATTTATGGCTATGATAGGATACTTAGCGAGCAAAACTGGGCATTCATCCATGCCCTGGTGCCCCTAGGGCCACAGAGCATTCTTCTTGTCCTCTAGTGAACATGGTGACAAAGGCCACTTCCTGAGAAATGCTCTGCCTCTGTGTTTTTCTCCAGGGGTTTCATTGTTTCCCTATACACCAGTGTCTACTTGTGTCTCAATGAAACCCTTTTCAAAATTTTGGGTCTTGCTTGGACTGCTGGGCACTAAGTCTCTTTTGTCGTCAGTGGTATGGTCATAGGAGCAGGGTCTTGCTAAAGTCTGGTTTAGCAGAAGCCTGCTTGTGCGCTTGTTGCTGTTTCCTGCAGCAGGAGTTGCATTCAGGGCTGTCTGTTCAAGTCCCAGTTAGAGACTGTGGCGAGCAGGCAGCCGCTCAGTGCATGGCTTCAGGGCGCTTCCACAGTACTCAAGCCTGCGGTCTCGTTCTTTCACAAGGGTCTGGATGCTTATAGTCTCCTAGAGCCAGTTAATGTGCAGTAGATGAAGTACCCCCGGCAAGATTGAACAGTTTTCTCCATTTTGTCCCCCACTTCGTTCTGCAGTTCCAACAGAGAACACCCTCAAGAGCTGCCTGCTTCTACGAGCTTGCCTGCTCTAGTTCTCAGTGGGGGGCTGCGTGTTCTGGGAACTTCTTTGCAGCTTGACTAATGACATAGCATCAATGTGAAATAAAGTCCTGACCACATCTGGTCGCTAACTCATTCATCACTTCTGCCTGGAGATTAGGGGCAAAGTGCAACTGTTGACAACTGTCACAACAGTGAATCAGATACAAACTCCTTAGAATACTTGAACCATCGGCCTAGGAAACTGTGTGGGATTTTGTGGCACTATCTGAAGAGCTCTGTGTCAAGACCAGAACTGACTGTGGGGAGAAAAAAAATTTTAAAACCTCATGTGCCAAGTGTCCCTGTTGGCAGAGACTAAGCTTCTTAGGGCCACAGACACCTCCTGGAGGCCTGCGCTGTATTTTAGCACAGACGGCTGTGTAGTTTGGAGATATCTGTTTTTGGAAGGAGCACATAGTTCAAACTTGGTCTGTGCAGCCCAGGGAGCTGTAATTCTAGCCTTGAGCCCCTTTCCTAGTTAGCACTTTTCCTCCACGGCTGCTTGTCAAGGGATAGGAAGCATAAGAATTCATGGGAGATCTGAGGAACCTGTATGGAGCAGGAAAAGGCTTTTCCCTGCTTCTCTTTCAACTTTCTGGGGTTGTTCTTTAACTCCTCTGGCAGTCGTTCAGCTCTTCTCCTTCTGCGGCCTCCAGGCTGTATGCTGGCCGTAGCAGCTCTCTTGAATAGGTTATAGCAGAAGTAAGCAGCCCCTTTATGCTGCCTTCACAGATTACTTTTTTCCTCCATGAAAGCACTGGAAAGAACTTATTCTAGAAGCGGTACAGCATTGGAGGTTAAAGGATTTGCCTACCCCTTTGATACAAAACAAAATTACTTGTCACAGAAAAATGTTGTTTAGCCTCTCAATACATTAAATGTGTCTGGTGAACCTTTGTAAGCATGGATTGACAGTTGAAATCTGAAATTAGCTTCTCAAGCCTGTATTTGTATAAGAATTGACATATGAGCATGAGCCTCACTGACTTTCAGTCATTGTAGCAATGAGGGAAGACACAACCTTAGCTGGAACATTCTGGTTTTATCTATAGTAATTCAGTTTACTGGAAACATTTTGTTATACAATATAATACTGGCTGTCTGATTGGGGCTGGATTTTTGACAGTGGTCATTTGCATCAAAAAGGAAAAAAAAAAAGTGAAAATAGTTTGTGGTTTAGTTTCTGTAGTAGAATTCTGTTCTGCTTTCAAGATCCTGGCGGAATTTCAGTCAGGTAAAGGATTTATCTTTTCTTTCTTCCTTCCTTCCCAAAACTAGGTGCTATGAAGAACTACTTGCTACCTCCTGTACTAGAAAGAGCCTTGTTTTTTGGATGTGGGAGGTGTTTCCTTGGTGTCTAGTCAGGGATGACAATTGCTAACATTTCAGTTCTGGTAAAGCTGGCTTGAGCGGCTGCGTGTGTCTTGCAGTACTGAGCCTGCTGACATTCCTCGGTGTGGCCAGACTGCAGGTCTGGCTGTTCCCAGGATCTGCCTGGCATGCTTCCTGGGCATGGGGTCTCTTCATCTGCTCTGCCCAGAAATGAGAGCTCATGGCTCAGCTGCTGTTTGCCGTGGAACTGGCACTAGTCCTGTTAAATGCTTCTGTGGCTTAAGGGTGAGGCTTAAGCCAGAGCGATCTGGCTTGCACATCACCTCTCCAAGTATAGTAGGCAGTTTAAACACAGAAAGGAGCAGCAATGAAAGGTGCTTTGGGTAGCACTGAAAAATACAGGCCCATAACACTGTAGTGGTGTTGTCAGCTCTTCCCTTTGCTTTCCTGCTTGGGAGTGCTCAATCCCCTCGGCTCCTGCTTATGAGTGTGTCCGACTGGTTATAATACAGAGGGTGCCCAAGAAAGATTAGTGATCTCTTTATTTGGCTCTTATTCTCCCCCTCAAGAGGCATGTACAGTGCATGACCAGGGACCTGTCAGCCCATGGTAGGATCTGAACTTCTTGGCTGCCTCATAGGTGCCTCCTTACAGATGTGATACCTGGACCCCACAGGGAGCAAAGCCCTCGGCCATGAGGTAGGGATGTGAAATCTCCTAGGTCATGCTCGCTCTTCTCCTCGTGCCCTGCTGTGTGTACAGGCCCTTTGGTCCTCTCTGCTGGTCCAGTTCCTCTCTCTGAGGTAAGGGTGTCAGAGCTGTGCAACTTTTTAAAATGTATTATTTTTTTAAACTATGTGCTGCAAACTATACCAAGATCTGTGGGCAAAAAAAGGGTAGGAGGACTGGATTAAATAAAACCCTGACTCTGCTTTTCCTTGCAGACTGACAACACTGGTCGTCTATATCATGTCTCTGGTGGGATTGATAACCTATACCTTCACTCTGAGCCTAGGCCACCTCTGGGTGGTCTTTGTGACTGCAGGCATGCTGGGGTAAGTTCATGTGCAGGCTGCTTTCCTCTACATGTGAGCTGCTAGGGGATAAGCAGAGAGGCAGAGCTCACGGCGCAGGAGGGATTGGGGTGAGCTATAGCCTGTGTGTGGCTCCTCGCGGTTTAAGGACAAAATTATCTATTCTTCCCATCCCTCTTGTTTGTGTTTCATTAGAGTCAGGGATATTAGCATGGCCCTGCTCAGCTGCAGCTTCCTTAAATGTTCTGGGTAATCAAGTGAAAGCGTTTGGGAAGTGAGTGGTACCACAACCCCATGGATGACCAATGGGCAGGAATGAAAATCATGTGGGCCTGGGTGGCTGTTTGACCATGCTGGGGATGATGCCCCTTAGAGTTATTTGTGGGAGATGCTGCTTTTAATGCCTTGTTCTTGTAGCAACCAGCAGCTCCCTGCTGGCCTGGCTCTGTGCCTTGAGGCTACGGGCAAAGGTATTTCTGGGTAGGAGGAAGATTTATGCTGTAGTGAGGGAATCTGGACAGCTGCTTGGGCTGTGACAATGCTAGGGGAAACATCTGGTGCAGTCAGTGAAGCATCCCAAAAGGGGTATGGGTACACTGTGCCTCCTGAGTCTCCCTTCTAGAAGTTGCTGAGTCTTCCTTTCTGTGTGTTTCTTTACAGGTTTTTCATGACAGGATACCTTCCCCTGGGCTTTGAGTTTGCTGCAGAGTTAACATACCCAGAATCAGAAGGAACATCATCAGGGCTCCTTAATGTCTCAGCACAGGTAGGTCTGTTGTTTTCCCTTTGCTTGCCTCCTTATAGGCAGAGAGATTAAGTTGTAGTTCCCAGACTTGACTCCTATTTCTTGTCCATGATTATTGTAATCTAAGCACCCTGGGACCTGGCTTTTTGAATGACGTTCCTCATGGCATTTCTCTAGTGGCACCCATTCTGTTTCTGCTTGGGAAAATCCATCAGGATGCAAGTCATCTTTGCCTTTTCCAACATTGCTCCCAGCAGCGTAGGACCTGGCTCTTCTCCAGTGAGAGATGGGATTCCAGCCTTAAAAGTCACCTGTCTGTCCATCAGCTGCAAGGATGTGCCTCTGGATGTGTTTATAAGTAAACTTTAGCCTCACTAGGCCAAGAGCTTGGCTGGCCTGTACGCTCTGATACTTTGGTAAAGCTGGAAAGCTGTTTAGGCTTCTTTATAATAACAGTACAGCTTGACACTGCCTTTGTTTTTGTTTGTAGATTTTTGGTATTGCCTTCACCATCAGCGAAGGGCAAATCATGGATCGCTTTGGGACAAAGGCAGGAAACCTGTTTCTTTGTTCCTTCCTGCTCCTGGGGACCATTGTGACAGGTAATTAAATTTTTCAGTGTTCCTCTGTTGTGACTCTTCCCCTTGGGCTTGGCGTATGAATTGGAGGGCTTTTGTGTGTAGTGGTGCCTGCAGGAAAGGACAAGACCCACGCAGCAGTCCCATAGCTATGCTGCTGTGCTTCTTTAAGCATCTGGTCTGTGTTACAAAGAAGATCCAAGGTTTCTTGCCCTGGCTGCTGGTTGAGGTCTCAAAGATGCACCTTCTACATGCTGCAATAAGGAGTCTCTATCCTGCCTGTTTCAGAAGTGCTCTCTGCCTCATCCAGGAGAGTGGTTTCCCTTGCTCACCGTAACACGTTCCTGTCTCCTCTGGGGTCTCTGCTGCCCCTTTGAGTCCTGGGGAAATTGGTTTGGGCTCTGCATGGTGACTTAACTGCCTTCACATCTTTCTTCCTTCCTCTGTCCCAGCATTCATTAAGGCTGATCTCCGAAGACAGCAGGCCAATTTGGATAATGAACAGACAGTGAGTAAACCCCTCTTCAATCCCTGCTGTGCCCCTGCTATTAGCTTAGGACAATATCCAACCTCTCTCCTTTCTAGGAGCAGTGCTGGTCCTTTCTGAGTTGCGATTGCAGCTGCGATTCTCTTCTCTTATCCCGCCACTTCTTGCCCAGCCTGTGGGGAAGCTCCTTGTTGGCATTTTCAGACAAGTGGCTGTAATTCCAGCTCTACCAGCTGCTGGGGCCTCTGTTTGCTTGCTGTTAATGTCATGCAGAATCTGTAGGCCCTGGTCCTCTGGGATCTAGGGCTTCACACATCTTCATAATGGCTAGGGACGGACGTAGGGCAGCACTATGCTCGCTTCTCTGCCCTGACAATGCGCTGAGCCCTCCAGTGCTTTGCCCTTGTTTAGATCTGGGTAACCATTATTCCAGGCCCCTACGGAAGCAGGTTATTCCTCTTATTCCCTGTCCTCAGCTGGCAAGTGGGGTCCAGTGTATGGGACTGGAAGAAGCTAGGTGACAAAGCCCAGATGAGGGCTTGAGCAGCCTGGCTCCCCACACTTTGTGCAGTGCTGCAGACAGGGCTGCTAATTCATATGTGTGCACCAGAGCTCAGGATATGATGTCCCTGTGGCATGCTGTGCAATAAATGCAGCTGTTTGCATGTGGGAGAGGGCCTCTGGTGAACTAATTGCAGTTGATACCCTTCGAAGCTCTCCCTGCAGGGAAAGGGAGGGGAGTGGTGGTTGTTTGAGGCTCTTTTCTTTATTGCTGTGGCTTCCTCTTCTAGGATGTTAGCAGAGACATCCACTCAACGCTCATGAAGCCATCAGTGACCAAGACTAGCAAAGTGCATAAGCTCAGTTCTCTGCTGGCTCAAGTCAGCCCTTTTCAGAAGGTGGCGCTGCCTTCCTCCAGATAATCTAACGAGTCCAATCTGGAGAGAGACCAGAAGGTCCAAGAACCAGCTCTGCTCCAACCAGCTGCTCAGGAAGGTGGATTTTCAATTACAAAATATGTGCTTTTTTTTTAAAAAATTTATTTTTACTGAACTATCTGAACACAAATGCAGAGGGTAGGTTAAGTAAAAGGAATTGATGATGCCCTGAGTAGTTCTTGGACATGTAATTCTAGACTACATATGGGGGGGAAAAGGCTGTACAATTTACTTAGTTTGGGTAAAGGAGTCCCCCCTCGTAACTTAAAAAGAATTCCTGATTTTTTTCTGCTCTGAGGCTTACAACTTTGGCTAATTTTAGCAGTGGGTGCCCATCATGGCCTATAAGACCAAGCTAGAAGACAACTACTGTCCCAAAATCCTGGCATGAATGGGGCTAACTGGAACACACTTAGTGAAGCTGAGCTGGGGTAAAGACCAGTCTGTTTTGATACACACCAAACTGTTTATATCCCTTGATTAACAGGGCTGAGGTCAAAAGCAGAAGATGAACTGTAAGCCCAAACCATCCTCTGCAAGCCCTGAGGCAGCAGCATTGTATGAGAGGTGCTGGTGGCACTGTGAGTTAATTCATAACATGTATACGGAAGGCCTAGGAAATATCAAGGTCCTTTGGCAGCAGACATGATGCCTAGTAGTAGTAAGGTCCTTTCCCTTTGTCAGACCTTCTCTCACCGTATGAATTGTACACTTTTGCTTAAGCCATTTTTGCTATCAATCTTTTTAATATAAATACAATTGTAAGAGCTTGCTGCTGGAGTGGGGAGGGTGTTGAGACCAGAGCAAATGTGGTACAGGTGTCATTTCTATAATCTTAAAAGCCTCCAGAAGTGACAGCAGTAAGAACCAGAGGGATGTGTGTGAGGGAACAGATCTCAGTAAGTCAAAAACTTCACTGGCAGCTCCTTCCACCTGAGGAGTCATGCTCTGAGGAAGTCATGATGGACACCCCACCACACCCCCAAATGTGGCCTCCACATGGCTGAGCTCACCTGGGTACTTCTAAAGCTTAAGGTGCTCGACCAGCTGAAGGTAGGCTGAACCTGGTGTTGTGTGCTAACATGGATGCTTCAGTCAGGGGAGCAGCCAGCTGGGCTTGGCCTTTGTGGAGAGTTCTGAGTCAGGTACTGGAGCTTTTCTACGTGGCACAGCTGCCTTACACATGCTTGGGTGATTTTACTGGTTTCTTCCTTTGCCTGTTCCTCTTTTTTATTTTTCACACCTTTAATTTCCCTCCCTACTTGCCTCCATCTCTTCTGGGATGGTGACTTGTGGCTGTTGTTACAGAGACTCCAAGGCAGCAATCAGATCATGGATTATGGGACTG